CCCCCCCCCCCCCCCCACAATTTGTGTTGCATGGTTCTGTTGCTTTAGGTGGATAACATGAAAGAATTTTTACCTCCCTGCTCTTCAGAACTTTCTTTGTAGCAGGCCATGGCAGAGAGCTACATTGCGGCCATGTCTATATTGTTTCCTAACCCAAGTCAAAGACTTTTTTCAAGAAACAAGCCTAGGACCCAGTCCTTACACTTCCCTAACTACTAGCTGCTGTTATATAAAAGAGTCATCGCCACCACCACCCTGGTTTTTAACGGAAGGGGCTGTGGCTGTTGTGTTGTTGAAGTCAGTGCTGTCAGCATGCATTGGGTGTGCTCAGAGTTCATTTACTGGCTGGGCCTCTCACCTTAGGTGCACGGACACTTTCAGTTTGGTATCCTAAATTGCCTTAAGTGTGAGATAGGTGCAGAGATGTCAAGTTCGCTCAAGGCAGCAGCTGTTCTAGGTTTGTGCAAAACTTTAAATGTTTGAGTCAGTCTTCTATCAAAATGTATGCACATAAATGCCTCTCAGGCCTTTATCCTTTAGGCTTGTTTAACGTGATAATATGCCACTCCCAGTCGCTTCCAAGGTGGAGAGCTTAAGAGCAGTTATAGAGCATGCACTCAGGAGCCCTTTTAGCTGCCTACACTACCTAATAACTGGGCTTTGGTGACTGCAGAAAAAAGTAGACTTGTTTCCTGACAGCTTTCTCCTTGGCTCTCTCTGGTCATACCTGAAGTTGTTTATACCTAGAGGGACAAGTGAAGCACCTAAGTCCAGGAAGTGTTTTGGGTTGTGACTTCTAGTCTCAAATAGGTGACTCAGGGCTATTGGTAAGTGCCCAAATCTGGAAGAGAGGCAGGATTTCAGCTACACACTATCTCCAGCACTTTTAATTGGCAGATCTGCATGTCCCCTAGTTTAGCATGCCATCTGTTGTGAGGCACTTAACTCTCTCCATTCCTTGTGTGGGGAACATAAGGCTCTTAACTCAGTGTTGTGAATTCCACTCCTGGTACCTAAATAGGTGAGGCAATTCTCAGTATCTCCATGGCTAAGTGCACCTTGTGGATCTGGGTTTAAGGATATATCTACACAGCTCAGTGCCATGCCATGCAGATAGCCAGGATAGGCACAACAGCACATTGCTGTGCCTAGGCTACAAAAAGTCTTGCTTCTCAGCGGAACTAATTAATTTGGATGCAAGTGCATCCTAACACACCTATATTGCTTCTAGAGCTATCTTATACTCTGATTCTGTTTAGCACTGTCCTGACATACCATCACTCAAAGTCACATTAAAAATCTCTGTCAGCCAAGGAAATTGAACCTAAAATTCAAGACTAGGGCTATCCTTTCATGTAAGTGTATTCTCTGTAAGCTACAGGCCTGGTTCAAAGCACTTGGAATTCCATGGAGTTTTTTGGCTAGCTTTAATGAGCTTGGGATGAAACTTCAAATGAACACAGACTCAATGATGTGAGTAATGAATATTTATGAATAAGTTTTTCAGGCTGGACCACAAAATGACATGTTGAGATAGTGATGATCAGCCATTTACAATGCTGCAATATATTTCCTCCTAGCATGTATGCATAATTTACATCTAGACAAACAAGAGGCAAGAAGGGAATTTGCTGTTCTTCCTATGCATCAACTAACTGTACTGGAAATATTAGGATAATAATGGTCATATTCCACTATTAAATTCTAAGAACAGTCATAGTTAATCCAGTTCTTTGGACAACTTTCCTGATGAAACTTTTTTTGTAACAAGAAGAAAAATAACAATTTAAATGAGGTCATTACCCATTTGCTTTTAGAACAATAAGAATGCAGTTAAAATGCAGCATAAGATGCAAAAAGCAAATATTTACCTACGAGAAATTTAAATGCAGGTTCTGCTTCAGATCCTAGAATCTTAATTTTGTAGAAAATTGGGAAAGTTACTCCATAGTTTCCCTTGGCAAAAGATTCTATTTCTTGGCTTGAGCTAGGCTCCGATTCTCCAAACTGATTGCAGGGAAAGGCCAGCACAGTGAAGTGGGATGGACCAAACTCTCTGTGTAATTCTTGCAGCTCAATGTAATTTTTGTCTGTGTGCTGGCAGTAACTGGCCACGTTTACAACCAGAGATGCCTTCAAGGAAATAGAAAGTGGAACATTTAGAAAAAAAGAAACTACGCAGCCACTCCTGTTTAAAAAATAGATATGCCTGCTTGAGCACAATATCAAGTACCATAAAACAAAGCACCTGAAAACATATATTTTCTTTAAGAGACATTGTTTTAATAAACATTCTTAGAATGTGTCAAATGTTACAAGTTTGTTTAAAACTAAACACAATTGGATGTTTCAGGCATGTGCATAGTAAATAATTGTGCATTTTATTAGTTAGATCTGCTTCTAAAATGTAATCCTGATATTCTCAACCACTGCAAATAAAACACAATAGTTCAGTAGTTAGAGCAGTTTAATGCATGAGACATTCTAGCTGACTATTTTACTAGATTGTCATTATTAGTCTTTTATTTTTTAAAGTCTAACAAAGTAAAATGTATCTGTACTTAAAGCTTATTGCTAAAAGCGGAAGGAGAAGGGACTTAGCTCATCTCTCTGTCTCTCCATCTCTTGATGCTAGTTTTATCACATATAAATGGACTACATTGCTTGTTATTTAAAGAGTTAGGAGACAAAGAAAAAACGGTTTGAAGCTGCAACTTACTTTGCCTCTGTACTTCTCCAGAGAAACGATCCTCCCTTTTGAATCCTTCACTTCAAAAGAATAAAAGTCTTTGATTTTAGGTTTTAAGAACTTAAGTTGCAACAGACAGAGCATGACTGTGCACAACACCATGGACAGGAAAACAATAAACACCCTGGCTTTGGGCACTGAACATTTTAAAGGATAGGTGGCGAGAGGCTCCATTTTGGAAAAAAATTGAGAGAAGCCTCAGCAGGCCTGGAATGTGAGGAGGAGCTGCAACATGAAACCCGCAGCAGTTCTGCACTGAACAAAAAAGGACCAGCCCCTCATTTCGTCCCACACTTAGATTAGGGTTTGGAAGCTGCTGCCACATTGCAAGTCAGCATGACCAGACTTTGAACCCCAGGTTTGACAATATATGTAAATGTCCTTCATTGTGAAAGAGAGAAATTAAATCTTTATTTCAATTATATAAAGAATTAACATTTCCCCTTAACTGACTCCTTTGAAATAGAAATATGGTATGGACAGTTAAAGGATATACGTGTGTGGGACCTGGCTATGTATTGAACTCTTTCGCTGTAATTGATTTGCCTGTCTGTTCTATCCCACTGTAAGTGGAAACTAAATCAGAGTAATCTATCCCACTTTAAGGCTAGGGACAAAAATGACTCATAAACCAGTATAAGAGATCAGAAACCAGTTTAAATCTGTAACACAACATGGTTAAGGACAGAAGTTACACATAAAGGGCGGTACACATTGAGGGCTGTAAGCTGTACAGAAAGGATAGAGTAGGGAGAGTGGGAGGGGTTGTGCTCTATGTCAAGGAGCATTATACATTGACCCTTATCAAAATGGAATTGGAGGAGGAGAAAGTAGAAGGATTGTGGGTTAGGATACATGGAGGTCAAGGGGAAAGGGATTTGGTGGTAGGGGTCTGCTACAGACCCCCACACCAAGGGGAAGAACTAGATTTGGAACTCCTGAGGCAGCTCTCAGAGAACATAAAGACTAGAGAAGCGGTAGTCATGGGGGACCTAAACTACCCTGACATCTGCTGGGAGATGCAGACAGCAAATTCCCATTGTTCACACAGGTTCCTATCCTGTGTACAGGACCTCCACCTGACGCAGGAGGTACATGCTCCCACTAGGGGGAATGCCGTACTGGACCTGGTATTGGTAACGGGGGATGACATGATAGGGGACCTACAGATCAGTGGTCAGTGAGGGAGGTTTAAGCCCCCTCCCCCACCTGCAAGGGACCCCAGCCAAGGTCTGCATGGCAGGGGTGAAGCAGCCCCTGGTTGCTTTTCCTCTGCTCCCCAATGGAGCAGAGGGGCAGGGGGCATAGCCAAACACCAGCCAGGTCAGCACTCTTAGGCAGAAGGGGGGAGGGGTTTTAAGTCCCCCTTCCCCCCACCTCAGTATGCTGGCCTGGCCCCACCCCTCTGCTGGCCTCCCATGTCTGGCCATACCCTCTGCCCCTTTGCTCCAGTAGGGAGGAGGGGAAAAGCCAACCAGGGGCTGTTTCACCCCTGCTAGGCAGACCCCAGGTGGGGTCCTGTGTGGGCAGGGGAAGGGGTTTACACCCCGCTCCTTGGTTTTGTACCCAGCTGCAGCTTGCCCTGGAGGTGGGGACAGCACCTGCCATGCTTCTGTCCCACTACTCAAGGAGGGAAGAGGCAAGCCCTTATGGGAGCTTTCTCTCTTTCATGAGTGGAGAGCAGGGAGCATGGCCATGTCCTGGCATGCTGAAGGAGGAGGATTAAACCATGCTCCCCTCCACTATGGTGAGTAGTGGGTGGGGGGCAAAAGTTTGGCAGGGCCTGTCCCCACCCCCCCAGGTAAGCCCTGGCTGGGGCCTCAGCCTGCGAGCCCCCAGCTGGGCTGTGGTCATTCCCTCAGCTTCCTGCTTGAGCAGTGGCTGCCCCCTCCCCCTCAAGGAAGACCTGGGCTTCAGTCCTGTGCACCCAGGGAAGGGGTTTAAACCCCTTCCCTCCCCACCTCAGCCTGTGGGCCCCTGCCTGGGGCATGGCCACACCCCCTGCCCTCCCCTCGAGTGGGGACAAACCATGGCAGGGACTGCCTTCCCCCTCAAGCAGGGAGCATGGGACAGAATCATGGCAGGGGCCACCCCCCTAAGCAGACCAGGGCTGGGGTCCCATGTGGGCCTAGGAGGGGGTTTAAACCCCTCTCTGTCCCCACCTCTGAGTGCTGGTTCCAGGCTGGGGTCTGGCCAGGCACCCCACTTTCCGCTTGAGCTATGGGGGTAAAAACCTGGTAGGGGCTGCCCACCATCAGACCCCAACTGGGGTCCATGTGGGACTGGGATGGGGTTTTAATCTCCTCCCTCCCCACCTCAGTGTGTGAGCCCCAGGCTGGGGAATGGCCACACCCCCCTCTGCTCAAGGGTGGGGCAAAAGCCTGGCAGGGGCTGTCCCATCTTCCAACCAGACAGTCCCTGGCTGGGGTCCCCTGCAGGCCAGGAATGGGGTTTAACCCCGCCCCCCCCTTCTCAGCATGGTGGCCTGGGCTGGGAGCAGGGAGTGGGGGATAAGCCTGGCAGGGGTGCCCCCTCTGCTCCCCCGACAGATCCAGGCTGGTGTCCATTGTGGGCCAGGGAGTGGAGTTTAAAGCTCCCCTCCCCCTGGCCTCAGCATGCTGGCCCCAGGCTGGGGCCTGGCCACATTCCTTCTGCTTGTGCAGGGTGGTTGGGAAAACCTCTCTTCTCTTGGGCAGTGGCTGGGAGGTGTGCTCTAGTGTCCCCCAGCTTCGGGCCTGAGCCACTGCAGGCATATGGCTGCATTTCTGGAATCAGAAGTGAATGCCTGTTCACTTGCATCTTGGTTCAATGTATGCAGTTTAGACTAAGCTGCAAAGATTGAATTGATGCAGCCTCAGGCTTTGTGACTGTCTGTACTTAGCCCAGAAGTTCAGTGCACATAAATCACTTTTTTTTGGCCATCAGAATGGCCAGAAAGGTTTAAGATAAACCTGGATGAATGTAGTATCAGACTTAACTGATTTAGGTTAAATCAGTTTATTGACCTTCTGTCCCAGATCCGCTCCAGGGAGAGAGGACCCCTGGGAAGGGACAACATCCACCTCACGTGGAGGGGTAAGTCCCTGTTCTTGACCAGGATGGATGATTTTTTTAGATAAGGCTTTAAGTTAAGATCACCAGGGAACGGGTAAACACTGACTGGAGCATGCCAAGGGACCAGAACACAAGAAAGCTCCAAAACTGGGGACACCAGGAGAGCCACTCTTCCAATAGCTGAGGGAATCATTCTCCCTCAATGTGATAGGAAATCAAATATCTCAATTGGAGGATTCAGGTGCCTGTACACTAATGCCAGGAGCATGGGAAACCAGCAGGAGGAGCTAGCCCTCCTACTCTCCAGTGGGCATTACGATCTAGTAGGGATTACAGAGCCCTGGTGGGACTTGTCACATGATTGGAACGTAGCTGTGATGCCCTCTGTTGGTGCTGTGAGTATCTCCCTGCTCTCTGGGTCAGGCCCCAGACTCACCTGCCACGACTTGATGGATCCGTAATAGAAAGGAGGGGTTCAATGGTATTCCTACCCTGGCCCAGAGACGGTAATACTCACGGGGTCGATGTAGCTGGTCCTGGGGCTCCGCCTCCACTACACTCCAGTCCACTCGCCTACTCTGAGGGCTGTTGTGTCATCATTCTATCTCCTGGCGCTGTCCTCTTATGGCCTCCCATTGGGCCTTGGCTCCACTAGCCGCAGTATGCGCTGCAGGCTTGTAGTTGCAGCCTGCTGTCAGCCCCTGCTTTGGCCCTATGCCAGGCTTGGATCTGCTGTGCCCTCCACAAGCTCAAAGATGGCTGTGCCTTTCCAGGGCCCCAGGGCAGTTCTGAGCCCCACACCCTCTCTAGGGAGCTTGGTCCTGCTAGCTCTCTTACAATGCCCCCTGCTCACCCCTGGTGGGACAGTGTCATGGGGGGAGGAGAAAGTTGCAATGCTGGGTCGTACCCCAGCAAGCTCAGTGCCTTGCTTCCCACCTTCTTTCCCCCTGCACCCAACTTCTGCCAGGGTTTTTAAATCTCCCATGGCGGTGGTCACAGCTGATGTCATCAGCTGGTCACTGCCCAGTCTGATTGACAGCCGCCTGAAAAGCTGGTGCAGCGCTGGCTTGTGCAGCTTCAGCCCTGCCTCTGCCTCCCTCCTAGGTAAGGAGGGCATGGTGAGAGAGTCCTAACTATAGGTGTATACTACAGGCCACTAAATTAGGGGGAGGAGCTCAATCTAGAGTTCTCTCTAGAACTGGCAGAGGCTGCGCATGTGTGGGACATGGTTGTCATGGATAACTTCAATTACCCAGTGTAACAGGGGGCCTTCTCGGGGCTGATTTACCTTTGGTCCACCCACCGGTTTCTGGACCAACCACCTGCCTTCTTGCCTGCCATACTTTGTTGCTAATTAATTGAAGATCTTAATTAGGTGGAAGGCTGCCCATTTCTTTCCCCGATGCCAGGGGGCACTATCTGCAGCTCCATACCTCCCCTACACCGCAGCCCATACCTCACAGATGGCCCCACACTGGGCCCCAGAATCCTCCTATCAGGACCCCTCCAAGATCCCTCCATTCAGACAACCTACCCTGCCTTTATTCAGGCTGTCTAGCTTCCTGAAACTATTTTCCCCTCTGGGGTGTGGTTCCCCCAGGACTTTTGGCCATACAGGCCCTGGCCTCACCTCCAAGGCCAGTTGGAAATCCCAGGCCCTTCTAGCTCTGGGAGTCCCTCATGGTGGGCCCCTGGCCCTTTTGAGAGTCCTGGTCCTGGCCCCAACATTGACCAGTCGAGGGTACTTTCTCAATCAGGTCTGAGTCTTTAGCCCCACTCTCTCCCCTGGGTAGCAGGTAACCCACCTGGTTCTGGGGGCTGGGGTTAAGGCGCCCTGACCCACCTTTCACTGGCATGGTAACTGGCCTAGCATTTCCTGGGGGCTCCTGCACCACTGAGAGCCCCACTAGGCCACCCACTCCTGGCAGGGTGCAGTTTTAGGTCATGCCCAGGACCAGGAACCTCCTAGGCATCCCCTACAGCTCCTCCCTTACCTCCAGGATGATACATGAAGCCTCACAACCAGGCAATGTTGTTGCCTGTCCTGCCAGCAGGGAACTGAACTGTTTATATAGGCAGCCAGGGATCTAAAATGGCTGCCACAATCAAGCACCTGCTTAAAGTGGCAGGCACAAACAGTGCCCTGCCACAGCCAGATATCTCTTGGGAGGAACACTCAACT